ATATAATAAATTAAGAACAAATAAGCTCAGAATGAATATGCGTTGATTGGACGGTGTGAAAGTAGTGAGGAATGACTGGGAAAGACGTAAAAAGAAAAATTGTTAATCCGTGGTTTAGAATAGGTAATGGTGAAGCAAAGAAAGGAAGGGAGAAAAAGAGGGATGAAACAAGAAGAGCGAGCTCACATACTTAGGTCAAATGGTCACGAAAAAGTTCATGGATGAATTGACGTTCCGTGTCGAGTCTGGGCCAAGGTAGCTATAGAGCTTTAGCAAATTGTTTTTGTGAACATGGCGTTGGTCGCAATATCTCTATTGCTACCGCATATGCTGTCACAGGATGGCGCTGTCGGAGGGGTTTGAGGATACCTTGCAAGTGGTTCTGAACGCATCCCCAGTTATCTGATATCCGGTATCTACTAGGTGCACTCGAAATAATCCTTGTGTTTCCCGTGTTTAACCAAACTTGATTGTGTTGCTTGATTCTTTGAGAAAACTGTCTGATTGTCCTGCCTGTGTATCTTGTTGAACATGAGAAAAGAAAAAGAATAGGTCAACATAAAGGAAGCGAGGATCGGCAATTTGTCTTTCACATTCCATGACAAAAAGAATCCGTTGATGAATTGTGTACGTAGACAGACCGCAGGAAACGTTTGAGTGATCGTCTTTTCTAGGCCTCTTGTTATTATATCGCACCCTTGAACGGGAGACGTATAAAGATTTGCTTTTGACTAACTGTAGTCACCGTTGGTCTTCTTGCGCGTTCACATAGGTTCTTTTCAATAGCCATTGTCTAATGGTATCTGCCGGTTCTATTCGGAGTCCAGGTTTTCAAACGCGCGCAGCTAGGGATCGGACGAGGTTTCACTTGTGCCTCGAAAGTACAAAACGGATGAACTGAGTGTACTGACCCGTCTATGCGGGTTTTCTGTAGACTGCTCTACAAGCTTTAGCAGTAGCCAGTATGAATTTCCGGGGCCAGATTGCAGGTTACTCTCATTGCACATACTGCGCCCCATTGACTACGGATTTTAATTGTTTTACACTGCGTCATTCACTGTCGTGCAATAAGAATTTCTCGAAAATCCGTTGCTGTTTTGTCGCGGTCGCCCCGGTAACTTTGAATCATTTGTCTCTCTGTCACAAAGAAAACAGGAACCAAGCTTGCCTGAGTAAAGAGCGAAGCAATATGGCAACTCCAATCCGATAATTGAGGCATGTGTTTGCTCATCGGTAAACGGTGATGTGCTAAAGTTTTAGCTCCATACCGACTGAACTAATTACTACTGATTACATCCTCAATCTTAACTAACATCTGCAGCTTTTCTTCGTTTTGTGAGATTGCTTTTACACCCTCTCGGTTTTCTCCCCGGATTGCTCTTATCACGCACACACGGACACTTTTGTGAGACAAATAACAGATGAAAGAATAAACTCCGCATTTCCGTCATGACAACTGATAATCCGAGTGGCGATCTCAATCTCAGTTTCACAGCCGTAAACCATTTTCATGCGCCAATTTTGGTTGCCGTTTACGGAAAGCCTCAACGGGATAGGCGTAACTGTTAGGCCCGGCGATATTGCTACTATGCTCCATTGCAGTGAAGTGATAATGGCGCACACCTCTTCCGGTATTTCAACCAGATAACAGGTTTTTTGTTTCGGATAGTTTGGTTTTACCAGTCATGTGGCACTTACTACCCTGAAAAATGGCACTCAAAACGAAAGAGGCAAAGAAGGAGGGAGAGGGAAGAACCAATAAATTCCCCGCTTGCAACTAGAGCACAAACACCATTGTCTATAAATTCCAATCTCTAATTGTCGTGCATTTAGGTCAAAAAGATTGATTGATTCCCGGAACCTTTCCGTCACTCCAATGCATAAACAACCAATTTACTGGAATCAGGGTGCACCCAACCACATGTCTTCCCATGGAAAGTCGCCATCATATTTATTGGGGTCTCCGCCAGATGACTGTAGGCACAATTGGATTGATCTGACGACAAAGCCACACTGAATAAACAGTTCTGATCACTCATCCGTGTTTGTTTGGGGGTGGATATCTTGCGTTGTCGCCGGTCACCCTTCCCTTGCACCTTGCGAAGAACTGGTATACCTACAAGCGTCTCAAATAGCCTCTGTTGAGGAAGCCCTACTCACCGGCTTCAAGTCTCTGAAGTGTTTCCCCCCAAACATCCGGGGCTCTAATCGGGTCAGGGAACCATTGGCAATTCACCTAGAGGAGTTGGCCGAAAACCCTGATTCCAAACCAACCGAGAGGAGGCATGCGAACCACACACACCTTACCGGTTGTGGCAGTGGTCACGGTGTTTTGGGCATTTTACACGTTTGACCCCATCCCAAAAAGGATATGATCCAATGGACTATAAAGCAGGCCCCAACTGATTGCGGTTTTCACACACCTCCTTGTGGGTTAGACTTTGGCCAGTCCAAGTCTCCGGTTGTAAATTCTCCCGGAAAATTCACCTTCCTTAGTCTGGTTAATCTGGTTTTGTTCTGCCCACCAGCAATTCATGGAACGTTTTCTTTTTATGAGGATTACTGTACCGTGATTTGTTTGGCACACAGTCTGAACTCAGGCTCGTGATTTAGATATATTTTATATATTAAGTAATTGGTACATGAAGATCCAAGTATTGCTACTCATAAAAGCAGTGAATCCAATCAGCATTTTCATTTTGGGGAATTTATGGTTTCAAGATGACTTCAAGATTTCCTCTTAGTGAAAATAACCTGGTTGGTCTGCAGTGATCATTGCTCCCCCTCCCCCCAGTGCTCCATCGCNTACCCAATTTTATCCCAGGTGCTGATTGGGTCATCCGAATTGATTGTTGAAGATCGACAGGACAATAAACTCTGATCACGAGTATATAAGTATGTTCCTCATTGGGACAAATAATGCAACGTACGCATACCCCTACAAAGGGAGAATATGTGAAAGATTGCGTTATTTTTGCTCTTATCTTGAAAAGCTCGCCACTGCACTTCCTGTATTCCTATCTCAGCACAATACTGTGTCTAGATAATAAAATGGCTGCTGTGTTTCTATAAACCTTTATTCGGTAGTAAACGTGACAAATTACCAAGTCACTGACTCGAAAATATTCGTCTTATTCAAGTTAAAGAATGGTTCTTCGCACTCTGCCGATGAAAAGTCTTTGAAGCTCTATGCAGCTGTTCTATCCTTGTGAAGAATCGCTAGCGGAACACGCCCGCCGAGTTGTGTGACACTGACATTGCACGATGAATCGCAATTTAATCATTCTATCTCCTACTACTCAAATGAACCAAGTAGCATGCTCAGTAATGGGGTACTGCTTGCAAAGTCAGAGTAAGCCGCTACTGAGAACAGGTTAGCATAGTTGTTGATAGCCATCAACTATGTTTAAATCAGCTTATCGAATACTAAAACTTCTTTTTTTGAAAATTAACCGTTTTTAAGTCAAAATGAGCAGTGCAGATCAGGTTGGCCCGCTTGGTACGCAATACCTCCTTAGCCACTCAGTATTCGACCTCATTTTGATCCATACATGGATAAATAGTATTCGCCATAGGTTTCCATAGAGATTCAATCTGAGCAGCAAACCTATTGATCAATAAAGAAAATTAATATACAGTTTGGTTTCATTGAATCAATTAAATTTGAACTTATCGATAACGTGCTTTGTTTGGCACACATTTGAAACACGTGTGAAATATAATAATGATGATGATCAATCGCCTCATTTTTCGAATCAAATTGACCAATCCCAGATGGATTCCTGTTGGTCACATGATGTTTGATTGTTTTTGATACCTGTTGCAGTTATATTTATAAGCGTTCAACTTGAAATGAGAACGGAATCAAAATTTGGATGTCTTCTGACACTCAGTTTTTCTTATGTGTGGAATAGAACGTATTCTCTTCTTCTCTGAATAAATTACACTGTTTTGCAGGAGAACCTCGCCTTGTCTGATCTGTTGACGGGCGCTGAACAGTTCAACCGGACTCGTATCACATGCCAATATCCGAACAGAAAAACTCACTTCGATAGCGATTTTGATAAAAGACGAAGCGTTGAAGTTCAAGTCGATCCTTGGCCTTCAGATAAGCAATTCAAATTTCCTGGACCCTTAGCCGTGCGAAAATCGTTACCCAATCTAACTAAATCATCGTGCACTGTATCACGTGCCTATGTGATGGAAACGCCGACTGATTCACAAACTTCCTCGGTACGTTTTCATCCCCTGTCACCCGCGTCTGAAAACACAAGTACGAGTGGGACTGTGATCAGTACGATCGAACGTGTGCACCCAAATCCCAGTCCGGATGTGGATCGGACATTGGTACCCTCGATCGATTCGAAACGTTCGTCCGTGGAATTTCGCACGAAATTCGAAATTCCTGTTAATCAATCTCCCATTCCATTACGTAATGATATTCAACCCAATGCCAATGGGGATTCTTTCGATGGTCTGAGTTCCGTGACAAGGTGAGCTTTGATCTCTCGCAATCTTTGTCCACCTTCTGATGAGCGACCACAATGGGATGGACCAGTTGTACATATGGTTCAGTCACACACACACACAGCACCCGGCCAGTCTTGTGGCGAGTCACGTGCGTCACGTGTCTGTACGGTTGGGTGTGATATGGACACCGAACCAACTAATAAAGCTGAAAAAGTTGTTTAGTGGTTCGAGATGTTTCAGTGTTAAGGGTTACATTAACTTGGTAAGATAAAAACGCACCTCCACGGACAAACTTGCTCTCCCTAACTGTTTGACAAAATAATCATGAATACCGAAAGCCAATATGGTGAAAACCGGGCAACTGGGTTCCAAACGTGTGTGTGTGTGTGTGTGTGTGTGTGTGTGTGTGTGTGTGTGTGTGTGTGTGTGTGT